CTTTTCCAACCGAGTGATTCTGTGATTCTATACTGGAAAAGAGACTGGAATATGTTGTGGATTCTCTATCACTGGAAATTTTTGAGAATGGCCCAACAAACCCCTCTCAGGAGTGAGGCAGTACAGCTGATTCACCTTAGGGCACGAGAAGAACTACGTTGCCTCCTCTTTTTCTACAGTTGCTATCTGGACTTCACAATATTCTTGGGAGTGTTTTTAAAAGACCAGAACAAAGTATTTTTCTACAGCTGAAAGACCAACATGGATGGGCTAGATTTGCTTTTTTTCCTCTATGAAATCTGAATTCTAAAGCAGAAGAAAATGTGAACTTAATATTTGGAAACAGTGCTAGCCTGGCAGCCTTATGAACTACTGACCAGCTATTCTTTCCAGAGCAAGTACAGCAGTGTTTCCCCCACACCTGTGCACTGCCTAAGGCAGCACTATTCTCTGAATTAATGCTTTTTCCAACCTAGTTTTAGGTGACCCACATAAGGAGACTTTAGAAAAAAATGCCTTTTTTTTGAAACAGTATCAAGTCATTTACAGGCAGTGTGCTGACTACACTTACTGATTTAATCGAAGTGCTTTGACGGCTCTGCTTTCTGGAAACCCCATTTCTGTAAGCTGTCGCAGAGCTATCTCATCCACTCTGTCTTCCTCATCCTCATCCAGCATGGCTACAAATACAAAAATGAAAAAACGTTCAGATTGACTTTGAGCTAAAAAAAACAAAAATAACCTCTCAATGGAATGGCACATGTCAAGTTCAAACCCTGGTGGCAAAATTTAACCCAAATTTAATTTGCCACACACAGCTCAGATAGTTTCTTCCAGGACAAAGACTCTGTCCAGATGTATTCAAGATCTCAAATAAAAGACAGCTAACTCTCACATCACCAAGGTATTTCCACACAAGTAAATATATAGGAGACTCAGTGAAGATATATTTTTCATTTAACTAGAAATTAAGTTTGATCTGGTCCCAGCAGATCTCAAGGGCAAGCATTCTGCACAAACAGAATCAACAGCTACACTTTCTCCTCATTTTAACAACTCCTTTTGTGTATTCAACTGTTCTTTACCACCCCCTTCAAGTGCAACTCATAAGGTTTTTCAATTTTTTCCACTACTGGTGATTTTATTTTTAAATGGAACTTCTCATCCATCCCAAAGGGACTTCATAAATTCACAAGTTTTATACAGCTATATCCACAAGGTGAAATCTTTGCCACAAAGTTTGCAGTAGCTTTGCTATTACATCAAGGTCTGCGCTTCACTCTGTGAGCCCAGTCTTCTGCTATGGAAGCAGACAAGTTCCCAGGGTTGAGTTAGCATCTATAAAGAGACATTCATACCATTTGCCTTCTTAAATAGTTCAACTGCGTCTGGGTTCAGTGCTAGCAATTTCTGTGCAACTTCTATAAGAGACACCAAGATCTTCCGGAGCTCTGTCTGGAACTGCAAGAAAGGAAACTGTCAAAACATTTAGACAAAGTTACCAGACATCATTAAATCTTAATATATCTATTGTTAGTACCTCAGCAGTAGTCTGTCCCCCTGTAGAGGAGGTTTCTTTATTAGGGCTTTATTTTCATTATTTAGTTTCTCAAGAAGCACTGGGCCTTTCCTGTGAAGTGCTACATGTAAGTAAAAGCTACTGGGCAGAAAGGTCCTTTTATTTCTACCACAGCTTTCCACCCAGCACCACCACAAGAGACGCAGTGGTCAAGAGAAGTCATTGCTTCACAGAAACACTTTGACTCCCACCTTGCAGAGGTGCTGTAAGAAGACAGTTGCAGTAGCTCTGTACCAGTGCTACTTGCTTCTGCGAACCAGCGAGCCTTCCTGGTCTACTATTTGCTTTCTAGCAATCTAAATTTGAATAACATAGACCAAAGTTATTTTCTCAACTGAAGCATCACATATGCCTTTCAGCTGGACATTCGTTTTTTCAAATGCTGTGCTCAGTAAGTCATGTTGGCCATTAAACAGCTTAAATGCCAACTGTCCCCTTTAGGTTACTAGGGGACGCTGACAGCATGAAATAAGCAGGCAGATTTGCTGCTTCATACAGAAGGGTAGAAGTAGTCCCCACACCGCTGAAAACATAGTTAGAAGCACTACAGATCATCAGCATTCAATTACTGAAGTCAAAATTTGACCGATTTCTCTTTTCAAAACCATGGAAAAGAAAGAAAACACTTCAAGGGCCTGAACAATTTAAGACTGAAGAAACAAATCCCCCTAACTTCACATTTGCCTGATCTTGAATAAGTTTACTGAGGCTTTCCCGTGGACAAATAAAATATTCAAAATCATAAGTCAAAAAAGAGTGTTTTATTGTCAGTAAACATTATATACACCTGAACTTCTCTTATAGAGAAAAGAGAATCCCATTCATACGTAAAAGATTACACAAGAGCCTATTTGGATGTTAGAGTGCAAGTTAAAGTCAAGTGTAATACTTACATCTCTCATGTTGTGATGGGCCACAGTGCGATCCACATTGCGAGAGGGCAGATTCGCAGTTGCTTTCAGAATAGCATCCTTATCAGGAGCCTTCTGCTCTTGTTTCCTCTGAGGGATAGGAAACATGATCAGGTTCCACAACCCATTATCCACAGAACAGAGAGCACAGCATAGCTGAGAACAGTTCCATATTCTTCACCAAGGCATCAAGCAGTGCTCTGTAACTCACAACTAAGAGAAACAGCAGTCTAGCAATAACAACAAACAGCACCAGTATGACTTTGCAATTATAGAGCAAAACTGGACCTGTTGGGTTGCCCCACTTTCAGTACTTGTATCTATTTCTGTTTTCTAAACACGCAGGGAAATTCCAGCATAAAAAGAAGTGATGTGTCAAACATGGAGAGAACTCAGAGGCCTCAGTGCCCAGGACTGCACTCCATATGGTCTGCTCATAGTGTACTCTTCAAACCCATGGTTTGTCGAGACACATACCAATAACGTGAACAGACTAACACTTAACTGCTGGAAGTGCTTCTGTGCTTGCAAGTATTGTGCAGAGATAGATGGTGCCTTCTTTTCAGTACATGCTTATAGTCCAGCACAAAACATAGCAGGGTAAAAATTATAAATATTTCTCAGTCTTATAACTGATGCTCTTAGTGACATTCTGCACAGCAAGACCAGACTGGAGAGAGAGACAGATACCAATGCCTACAGGAAGGGACACAGAGACAGACACCGATACTTACAGGAAGCAAGAAGAAACGAAGCTGTGCAAGGACAAAGAGACCTGGGAATTCACAATGTCAAGCACAAGCATGGCTCCAAGTGTTTATGTGATAAGATCAACTGCAGTAGCGCTTGTGCATAAGCATAATCCTGGGCATCACTGACCCTCAGTAACAATTACATTCCAATAAAATAAAATTTAAAAAAATAGCAGGGAACCAACACTTTGGCCCTAGAGACGTGGTTAGAAGGTTACAACACACACAGATAAAGACAGAAGACAGCCTGACAGCAAATCAACATATTTCTATTGTTTTTTTCATACAAAGACACTTGCTGAACTTTATGTATACAGTTACTAGATATTTGTTCAAAGAGCAAGTCTATGCCACCTTCACAGAGTGTATCTGCATGTCTTATTCCAAGGCAGATGTTCTCACAAAGTTAAAAATGGAAAGTCAGCTTCCTCAAAGGTTGGAAGAAATATGAAGTAATTTCCCTAGAATTTAATTGGCAGCATTTGGCTCTACAAGCAAAAAGAGCACACCACAGTAATCCTTCTACAGCTCATTAATAAAGCAGTTAATCAAAACAGCCAAGTCAAGAAGTCTTTCAAACTCACCTTCTCCTCTGCTGACACATCTGCCATTTTAGGGACCGGAGGTGGTGCACGCTTCTTTACCAAAAGCAAGACATCTAGAAAGAGAATGATACTGAAATACATCAGAAAGTAAGGTAAATCAGTTCTCGTAAGATACATCACAAATTCAATTTTTCCTGGAGATGAATCTTGTATTAATTCCACTGTAGCATCAGACCTTTTTCACACCTGGAAACAGGTATGACTTTACATGATCCCCCTCAGTGTTACCAATTCCTTAGTGCACAGTGAATTCAAAACATGGTCCATAATTAGTTACGCTTTCACTGATACTGGGTTCTTCACCTCACACACCACCATTAAAGAAAGGGTATTACAGGTCCAGTTGTCTTGTACATTAATAGTACAGCAACTGGCCCATGATAATAAGAGAGCATCAACACTTCCAGTATTTGCACTGAGAAGGAAGCAGCAGACACAGGCCATGGATGGTTTTTGGTCTGAGCTGGGGCCTTACAACTGCAGCAAGGCCAAGCTTCAACAAGAACTTGCAGTATCGGGCTGAAACTGTGTGTGTGTGAACGGCAGCAGAGCTATTCATGGTCCACAGCATGAATGCGCCACTGGTAGCCCACCAGCAGAAGGGCAAAAAGGGCTTCAGTCTCAGCTATCCCACAGGACCTGCACAAGCTTGCTTTGGGCTTTTAACATTAACTCTTTCCCCTTACACGGCACCCTTTTTCTAGGGATCACATGATGTCTTGCAGGTTTCTAGCACCTCAGTTACTACCACACACATTCTAAGGGTGGAAAGATGCAGATGCACTGATTAGAGCCCAAAACACACCTGTGCAGCACCCGCAGTCCTTCAGCCAGATACAGCCTCAAACACAGCTTTTAGCTCATTGCATTAAGCAGGTAAAAAGCAAACAAAGCCTGTTTCACACAACAAGCTTCCTTGGTCTGGCTCAGCACATAACAGCCAAGACCAACAGCTGGTGAAGGCTGTTATCCCTCATTTGTCCAGCTGATCAGGACTTGAAAGGATCCACATGCGACTCTTGGCTGGCCTGTGCAGTCAGCCAGTGGCAATCAGCTGTTGGCTGTGATCTTGTCTTCTTGACAAGCCAGGCACATGAAAGGTAGAGCACATTGCAGGGGGAAAGGGAGTGAAGAGGGATTCACAAGACAGCTTACTATGACTGCACGGTTAATACTGCTTGGCTGCTGCAAACTGTAATTCAAAACTCTTCAGGACCTGGCGCCTTGCTTAGAAATAATACACCAGCAATCAGCAAAAAAAAAAACCAAAACCATGTCTCTCGTCTTTGCTTAAGCTGGCACTTCTCAGCTCTGTTCAGCTATAAAGGTGATAGGTGACACTGCCTTGGGAGAGACACCAAACCTCTCGTGTTCATGGCAGCAGCTCTCCAGCCTGTGTGAACTCAGGCAAAAAAACAGGAACTCCATTCCTGCCGAGTTTCTGGTTCAGACAATATTTCAGTCTACAGCAGTCCTGCTTCACTCACTTTCTGCACCGGTGCCCTTTATCTCCAGAAGGGGCCATTAGCTTAAGCTGTCTAGAAAAAACTGACTCCAGCTCTCTGCTTTAGATCTTACTTTGTTTCACATTAATCCTTTAAACCTTTAAAGCTCAGGAGCAAATATGTACCTCACATAGACTATTGTAGTCAGCGATACTCGAGCGTGATGGATTCTGACCTATGTTTGCAGAGGACAGAATGTGATCTGAGCTGCAGACACTCAGATACACGTCAGCAACCATGCTTCTGCTTGACCTACAGATTTCAAGAAACCCGCAAAAGCACTGGGTTGTCAGTTTTGGAATACTCAGCCATGGTAAGTATTTTTGAATTATAGACTCTGCCCTGGAGATTTAAACAAATTCCTTTAAAAGGAGACAAATATAGTATGTTTAACTTATCAACTTAATGAACACTGCTAATTCCTTTTCAGCTCTTAATGGGAAAAAATGAAGAGAAGCAAACTGCTCCAGGTGCTTTCACTGGGGCAGGGGGAGGAGGCAGAAAGTCTTTCTCTCCTCTTCCTTTTCTGTGACATTATTACCTTCCTACATCAAACCAGAGAGATGTTAAAGAGGTTACTGCTTGGAACTCGCCAAATAATTGAACACAATCTCAAGTTTCCAGGCTGGCAGGATTAAAAAACAGACAATCTTACCTCTGTCCTGAATGTTTTCCTCCAACACTGTTTTTGTGTCTGTCAGCACCTTCTCAGAAGTCGCATGTATCAACTTATGATGTGTCACGATTTTTGGATCCTCCAAGCTCCCAGGTAAACACTGCAGGAGATAATACACAGTGAAGATCAGAAGACAGAATGAAGTCTAGTGCATGAATCACTGCATCTTGCACTTAAGATTCCCCACATACAAACTGTGCCACCATTTACTACCTTCTTAATAGCTTAAGTAACAGTGCAATGCTAGAGGCCAGTGCACAGAATGTATTTTATTAAAGATACTGAGGCTTGAGTTGTGCTGTAATGGTACGGACTGTGGTAGGTTTCTACCTGCATATCCAGGCTCCTGGCTGGGAAGAATAATAAACAAAAGGAAGGATTTTACCCATCCTTCCTGAACACTGTTAAATTAATAGCTATATTTAAGTTCCAACTGATTATGATGCTCGAAAAATCTTCCCCAAGCAGCCAAAGACCTAACATTACAGCCCAATTGCCTCAAAGAGCCCTTCAAGGGCACCAGCCTATGCAAGTGGATTTGTGCTTTCACAGTACATCTCTATCACCTAATTTCAAGTGCTTGGTCCTATACTCAGGCCTACAGAGACTTGGAGCAAAGCAAAGATGCTCCAGGACCCGCAGCTATGTTATTTCTGCAACAGTTTGCTAAGGTCACTCACACTTAATCAAAAGTCTGAGGGCAGCAATTTGTACCATGAACTAAGAACACAAATCTACAGAGCACTCAGTGTTTTAAAGGAAGGGAAGGCTAGAGTAATGCAGCATGTTTCTCATTTGTAACTAGCGTCAAAATAAATGAGAGACACTCTGCTTCATCTGATAATAATTATTTACACACACAGACTAAACAAGCAACTGTCAGCAGTGATTTTAGTATATTTGACCTTCAACTGGGAAGGAAACAGCAGTTTCTGGACCTTGTTTCAAGTTGAAATCAACAGATTTGGCTGCTGGAGCCCTACTCTGGGTTCCTGCTAAAAGTGCTACACAAACATTACATTCACAACTTTTCTTCTCAACCATAATCCACGCACAGATTTTTTCATATATGAATGTTTTGTTCAATTTCTTATTACAATTCATGCATGTCAATTAATTCGCTAGGAAATCAAGTTCAAATACCAAAAAAAGAGCACATGCACACACAGGCCTTGAACTGACTCATCTTCACACCAGAGTGGCTCCCAGATCCACAGCGATAAATTTCCAGGACATTACATCAGTGCATCTAGAGTCTTCTAACTTGTTGGAGTGGAAAAAGAAAACACAGCGGTTGCAATTCCAGAAAGGCAAAATTAAAAATAACAACCTACTGAAACCACAAGATTGATGTTGCTGTCCTCGCCACAGAACAGGACACTAAAGTGACCTCACCTGCTCTGCTCACCGAAAACAGCTTTTAATGACACTTCTTTCCATACACAGTTCTACCAGGCCAATTTTGCCACGTCTGCAGAAAAGCATCTTCACCCTTCACGTAACAGACATTTCCAGAAACCCCACTGAAGTCAGAGCTTCACTTTGATGCAGCATTTAGTCCTGTTCTTCACAACACACATCACCAGCCTCCTCCAAAGGAATCCTTTTAGTCCTGCATCACCTTTTCTGTTGTGACTGCAACCACTGGAAAACTCAGCTGCTTGCTCTTTTTCCAAACATAGCGCCTTTCTTTTCAACACGGATCTTCAGCTCCTCGTGTGAACTTCTGTACAGTACTAATGCCTCAATAAGATTGAAGCGAGAATGTTTCGAGTCCCACAGCAGCTTCTTACTAATCCTTCATCATATTAACTGCTGAACAAAAGCCAAAGAACGCATTAAAGCCTAGAAGCAGCTGGGAGCACCTCCTGTTATTGATCTGATTATCAAAATGCATCAGTGTACAGATCAGAGTACATCAGTGGAACACTTCCTCTCTGAGCAAACTCAAAATGTTACTGCTACAGATCCTGAGAGTCCAACCCCAAAAGGAAGAACTTGAAAATGGGAGCTGGGAGGTGCATTTTGGGGGCAGGATGGGATATTATCCATTTTTCCCCTAGCACATATAAAGAGGTTTGTGTGTGCGTGCAATCGTAACACTCACAAATAAGATGAAAGTGTAAGTGAAAAAAATTAAAGTTGCTGTTTTAAAAAAAAAAAAGTTCCCGGGACAGCGAATCTTACTTCCTCTTCCTCTAACCACTTTGTTAACAAATGTACAGCACAGTAAGGCGTATAGAAACAGCACACTGAGCAAAGAGACTGCTCAGTGAAGTACTCAGCTTATCTTAACATTCTAACATGCCCTGGAAATAAAAAGGCCACATCAACAGGTAACGCCTCTCCTAGCTCCCAAGAGTCCATCAGGAACTACCACCACTAAACATCAAATCTCACTGTGGAATGGTTCACAAGAACCACATATGCCCAAATAGTACTGTAGTATTAAATACAATGCTCTAAAGCAGTGTGACCAGCAGGGCCAGGGAGGTGATCATCCCCCTGTACTCGGCACTGGTGAGGCCACACCTCGAGTGCTGTGTTCAGTTCTGGGCCCCTCACTAGAAGAAGGATGTGGAGATTCTGGAGCGTGTTCAGAGAAGAGCCACAAGGATGGGGAGGGCTCTGGAGAACAAGCCTGATGAGGAGCGGCTGAGGGAACTGGGCTTGTTTAGCCTGGAGAAGAGAAGGCTGAGGGGAGACCTCATCACCACCTCCAACTGCCTCAAGGGAGCTTGTGGAGAGGTGGGTGCTGGGCTCTTCTCCCAGGTGATGGGGGACAGAACAAGGGGAAACGGCACCAAGCTGTGCCAAGGGAGGTTCAGGTTAGAGCTAAGGAGGAAGTTCTTTACTGAGAGGGTCGTCAGAAGCTGGAACAGGCTGCCCAGGGAGGTGGTGGAGTCACCATCCCTGGATGTATTTAAAGAGCGGGTAGACGAGGTACTTAGGGATATGGTTTAGGGGGTAGACAGGAGCGGTTGGACGTGATGATCTCAGAGGGCTTTTCCAACCGAGCCATTCTGTGATTCTGTGTGAAAACATCATCCTGCCCAGAGAGAGAAGAGCACTGCTAACGCACAGGGAGAGCGGCGAAGGGAAGAGGAAATCCCCGCGCAGGGCAGAGGAAGCATCTGCCACGCAAGTGAGAGGAAGCAAAATAATCAGGGTGCCTCTTGCTGCCCCAGGGCACCGTGGGGGCCAACGAGCACTGCTCCCCGGCAACCAGCACCTTAGCATGCCGGGGAAGATGAGCGTCTTGCATGTTTGCATACTAAAGAATTGTAAGGAGGGGATTTGCTGTTTCATCGTTTTGCTTCCAGCATAAATATTTGCATTCCTTTTGAACACAGGAGCTTACAGCAGGCACCTTGCCAGGCAGGTGAGAAAGGCGCCTTTCGCCTTTATTCACAGGTGCCTGAGCAACTGCTGAAACTGTAAGCCCGGGCAATGCCAAATGCTATTTGTGGAATTCTGAAAAACCACAAGGCTTTGTTTGTTTTTAAAACGAGAAAAAGCATTTTTACTTGCTTTTATTAACATAAACATTTGAAATTAGTACTGACACTCCCTACTACTAAGCTTGGGTGGCTTTAACCATTTGCACCCCTCAAAGTATCTGAAACATGCCCATGGGCATAAACCAACCTCATCTTTGCACTCTTGAGAACTAGCACCTTGCATCCCTGTCCCACAGTTTTAAGGTACGATAAGGAGTATCACTGAAGCAGCTTAAGAAAAAGGGGAACAGAAGTACAGAAGCATTGAAAGCTTGCCCTACACCACCAGGAAAATTGCAGTAGAGCTTCGGTGTGCGTACAGCCCACATCTGTGCGTCCCAAGTGCGCAACCACAATTTTTAGCAGTATTTTGGAAATGTTGCTGAGCCTCAGCAAGAAGCAACTGTCTCTCACAATTAGAGTATCGGAAGCAGGACAGCCCACAGCACCGCTGGCCGGTGCAGTGCTGTCCTTGGACTGCCAATGCTGGGCATAAAGATCATGGATCATAAAAATATTTAAATTAAGCTTGAGTTTCTGTGGTTAAATTGACCCTTTTCAATTCTGGTTCCGAAATGAACAGTTATCTTAAGGAAACCACAGGAGAGCTCAGGGTCTGCTCCCACTGAGGTGGTGGGGCCCTGTACAGGGACAAGCAACAGCTCCCAGAGAACACTTGGGTGGTGAAACCTGGGATAAAAAATAACAAGGGAGGGAAACAACTTATTATCAGGTATTTGTTCACAGACTGCATAGACAGCATTACTAATGGCAGCAGTTTCACAACAATCACCACTAAATAGTTACAAATCAGGAAATAAAACTAGTGGGAGATTTTTTTTTTCCCCTTTATCTGTAACAAAAATCCTCCAAACATAAAACATTCAAGGAAAAAAGAAAGACATCGAGAGTGACACTTCAGAGATCAGGGAGCATTTGAATGTCATGGAGGGAAAAGTGGCCACCTTCCTAATTCAAAGCCCTTACAAATATCTTCCACCCCTTCCTGAAAGAATGATTTCAAAGACTTTAGGGAACATAATAATCAGCATCTCACAAGAGATGGCTGCATAAATTATCTCAAGGTGCTATCAAGATTCATTGCAACATACCCATGATCACGAGCCACGATTTTTCCTCTTCTGCTTTTCCTCTCCATAAAACATTATCCCTAACGGTTATGTAAATCTACACCATTAGCACAAAGCAGCTGAGAGAATGAAATCAAACCTCGTGCCAAGTTATCAATTGTCTTCTGCCCTGGCTGGTGCTGCAACGCAAGCCTCCATGCAATTAAGCTTCCTGATAATTAAAGGCCTTTCAGTTCTGCACACATGCACGTAATCATTACCCCGCCCTGTTTTGGCAGTCCTTACACCACTCTTCTGCTTAATCACTCAGCTGCGCACTGAAGTGGACACGTGAGGAGCACCAGATTTCTTCCAGGAGCATAACAGTACGGGGCCCTCACACCCCCAGTTTCCCCTCAAGAAGTATCACACCTACCTCAGCAGAAGTAAACCCAACCGCAGCCCTTCTCATCCCCAAATGAAAAAGCATTTGCAAAGACTACAGGCTAAGAAAGCCAGCATGCGCTGCG